ATATCGTAAAACAAAAAACTGTATGTGTTTGGCAGTGTAAGACGTGGGTGTATTTTGGCTAAACAGCCTGGGAGGAAGTCTCGATCTTAATAAGTTCACTTATCAGTCATGGTGAATTGGAGTCCCAGTATTTCAGGGCCACTTAGAGGCAAATCAAAGAGCGCGGCCGGAATGTGAAAGAGTCCATGCCAACAGTTCAGTACCGGTATAATTGATGATTATAAATGAGTGCACTTCCCTGTTAAATAGCAACGCCCACGTACTGACCACAGTACGGTACTTATATCACTCTATCGTTTTTGAGCAGCGAAAGGTATGACTGAGCATGTTTCATTTTCGTTTTTAACTGGTTGGAGTTATCACCTTTGGTGTAGGCTGTTGGTGGGTTGGACTATACCTACATCCTACCTAATCAACAGTGTGGGACCTTGAAGGTGTAGATTATAGTTGGGTAGGCTGGTGGTTGGTATGTTATTTATGACAAAGGTTGTTGGTACAGGTTGTTGGTGATATAGGCCATTATAAGGTAGGATGGTGGTGGGTATGTTTGTGATGTATATTGTAGGTTGTAAGTGATATACTAGTAGGCTGTTGGTGGAGTTGGTTATTTATGATGAAGGCTGTTTGTAATTTAGGATGTTTTGTCATGAAGGTTTTCGGTGTGGTAGGCTTACGATAGACTGGCTACCAGCCCCTAAGTTTTTATGAAGAATTTCCTGGCTGCATTTTACTTCTAGCTTATCTCCCCCTAGTTTAGAACTTCTAGAATCAGACATTGTGATCAAAATTATTAAAGTTTATTTTTTTTCTAAATTATACAATATTCTAGAGACGGGGGCCAGTCTAGGCTTATGGAGATGCAGGCTGTTGATGGTGAAATAACATATTTTACCTGTAACTGAGCGAGATCGGGTTATCTCAGTCGAGGGTTAATATTCTGTAACAAAATCCCAACCGAGGCGAAAACCGAGGTTTGGATGTTACAGAATCTTAGCCCGAGACTGGGATAACCCGATCTCGTTCAGTTACAGGTAATTGCTTTTTTTTTCTCGCACCTTTTAGCTATTTCCCGAATTACCCATTCTATAACTGTTTTATTACAACGAAACAAATTATTCACCCAGTAAAGGCAATTTAACAAATGAAGTTATTTATTCATTTCCTTTTACAATTTCAAAGACTGAAAGTGAAAAAATTCAATTGAAAGTACTGTATGCATCGTCGTTGATGATATCTTCATTTCTAGCATTCAGGAAGTGTTTTTATAGACTGAATCTCATAGTCACCATTGTTTCCCTACCATATCTAGATGTAGTCCTATCCACTTTTTTTAAAGACTGAGTGACACTTCAAACTTATTTAACAGAACGGAATGCCGGAAGCGTCGACGAGCAAGCTCTTTAAAAAGAATTGGATAACACTAAATCTGGATATGGTAGGAAAACAATGGTGACTATGAGATTCAGTCTATAAAAATAATTGTATACATTACTCCCAAATGTATTTTTTTCTCTTTCAGTCTTTGAAATTGTAAAAGGAAATGAATAAATAAATTCATTTGTTAAATTGCCTTTACTGGGTGAATAATTTGTTTCGTTATAATAAAACAGTTATAGAATGGGTCATTCGGGAATTAGCAAATGTATGGTCACCCTTGGTGAAAAACTATTCCCATCGACGGCTTCGCCGCCTCGGGAAATAGATTATCACCTCGGGGGATCATACATGTGCTATTTCCCTCATACCCATTCTATAACTGTATAGTGTGGTAGGCTCTTGGTGACGCAGGCTGTTGGTGATGTAGCTTAGGTTATTGGTATGTTACATGTAGGATGTTGGTTGTGAAGATAGTTTGTGATGATGGCTGTTTGTGAAGTATAGGGTATTGGCGACATACGTTGTTTTTAAATGTTTGAAATGATACAGAATATTTGTAGTAAAGTTATTGGTTGCGTATACCGTCGGTAGAATCGGTATTGGAGCAGGAAGCTGGTGTAATCTGTCGGTCTTGTTGGTAACTTGAGGATGTAGGCTGGTGGGAAAAGTGTAAACAGTATATTGTGTCTCTAGCTTGGGAAACGTGAATAACGTGAACATAACTGTCTAGACTTAATATTGTGTTCCATGGTGGAAAGATGCAAACTTTGGATCGTATCCCAGGGTAGGAACTGTGAGTGTTTTAATAACGTTTTATAGACAAGTTAGCGTGAGATTTGTGTAGCATGTTCTACACGCTTTACCACACCGCCGTACATGTATACACACGAGATGGTAGGATATGTTTTATACTGATGCAGGTTCGATGCATGTGGTGAAACTGATTCGAGTTGATCCCATGCTATTATTAGCACACCTGTTTCGTAGAGGTTTAACACGTAGTGTTATTCTGTTTGACTTGGTCTGTCTGGTATTCCACACCTTGTATTACACAATGTGTACTCTGTATCGGACGGGGAACTAGGGAGGTATGGAAACCTCTAACTGCTATTCTGACGCTAGATGGCTTGTCTTAGGGTTGGAATTTGGAAACTATTGTATCAGCTTAGTTTGTTTCAAAAGATAGTTCATGAATCACCAAATCTAATTGACATTCTATCCTTTGCAGTCCTCTAGATTGTAGATCTGCCATTGGATCTAAATGGCCTGGATTTGACGCTGAAATGAATTTAAATGTATGATAAACTATTGGTTAAAGTAACGTTTTGCAATTGATCATGACTATAAATAGGTAGATCCTCGGCTGTCACAGGAATGGACTGTATACAGTTGCAATAGAGAGGGAGAGAAAAGGACAAAAGTGGAACAGTTACACATTGCAGACACAAATATTTGAATGCCGACCACGACACTATTACTCTTTTTCACTCTATGCGGTTTAGAATTATGCCCACTCTTCATGAGATAAAGCTAATATTTAAAGTTTGGTTAGTTTGATGTTACAAACCCATTTGTAAAGTAATTGGGGTGATAATTCATTATTTGGTTGGGCTTTTACTCCTGACAGACAAATGCTAGTTTTCGGAGGGGAGTGCTTAGTGATACAAGGAAAAAGGCTAATCCAATAGCAGTTTGCTATTATTTAATGAGATAGTTACTTGAAGGCAAAATAACAAAACTGTAACACATATAAAAGGTACCTCGATACTCCAGGGGTGACGATCACTTTCGCTGTACAGAGAACATAGCTAGGTGATGCATAGAAAGTTACTCTAGCCTTAGTCTTTTATAGCTACAGTGTAACCTAGCATTAGTATAGCCTAACTTTATTCTACTCTTGCCTAAGTATACTTAGATACAGCGAAACCTATCTTTATTCGACGCTAGCTACAGCGCTTTCGAGATTTAGTCAAACTTAGCCTTAGTCTTCTCTAGCCTTAGTCTACGATAGCTACAGCGGAACCTAGCGTTACTTTTCTCTAGCTTTAGTCTACGATAACTTCAGCAAAACCTATCGTTACTCTTCTCTAGCTTTAGTCTACTATAGCTACAGCGTAACCTAGCTTTAGTATAACTTAGTTTTAGTCTAATCTAGCCTTAGTATAATAAAGCTACGGCGAAACCTAGCTTTAGTGTACTCTAGCCTTAGTCTACTAAAGCTACAGTGTAACATAGCTTTAGTCTAATATAGCCTTAGTCTACTCTAGCCTTAGTCTAATATAGCTACAGCGAAACTTAGCTTTAATCTTATCTAGCCTTAGTCTACTATAGCTACAGCGAGACCTAGCTTTAGTTTTTCCTAGCTTTGGTCTAACTTAGCTTTAGTCTACTCTAGCTACAGCATAACTTAGCTTTAGTCTACTCTAGCCTTAGTCTACGATAGCTACAGCGGAACCTAGCGTTACTTTTCTCTAGATTTAGTCTACGATAGCTTCAGCAAAACCTATCGTTACTCTTCTCTAGCCTTAGTCTACGATAGCTACAGCGTAACCTAGCTTTAGTATAACTTAGCTTTAATCTTATCTAGCCTTAGCTAGTCTACTATAGCTACAGCGAGACCTAGCTTTAGTTTTTCCTAGCTTTGGTCTAACTTAGCTTTAGTCTACTCTAGCTACAGCATAACTTAGCTTTAGGGTGTAATCTGAATGTAGCTATATAGCCTGATCTTGGACCCTTTTGGTGGAGGTGGGGGTTGGGGAAGTAAAGACTTGTGGCGATTCTCCTAATAATTATTAGTGTGTATCTTATTGCCTTAAAGAACAACTTAATTATATTTTCCCCTGTATTTCAATGTTGTGTCTGCCAGACCAGTGTATAAATTCGTTCTGTTGCAGCCCTGGGATTCCACCGTTGTTTATTATACACATGTAGCTTGATTAAAACACGCTCGTTGGCGGTTTCCGACGACTATTAACTATACATCAGAAATGTCTCCTACTGGGGATGGCAGAATCAGCAAGCATCACACCAGACAATTAGCACTAAGGCCACACACACATTCACTCTTTGTTCAATGTGTAGGTATGATGTATACCTAAGGATGACTCACGACCTTGCAAAGGAAGAACATTGTCTAAAAAGCATTCACTTTTTTTTACAAATACCAAACTACATGTAACTGTTTGAATAGGTTACATGCTTGTTCAGTTTACTTCACATTGGTTAGCTTAATTATGGGAATAACAAAGCAAATACTTCTAATTACACTCAAGTGTGTACTGACAATAGACAAATGATACCTAGCGTTATTCATTAGCGACAGTGTTAAGCGTTGGTCGGTGTAAATACAATACGGTGATCTCCTGGTTGGAAATGTACAAACTATACCGTACAAAATGTCACAAGGCGTTAGACATCTTGTTTACGTCCCGTATTCTCTACAGTGACATTTCCAGGTAAAACTGTGAATCAAATACCATGGTAACGGGATGTAGTGTGGAAAGCTCAATATGTTCCCAAGCTTATTCTGATGTTGTGATAGGTATATGTATCTTTGTTGTGACATAAATCCTGTCACGTATTGTGTCCCTCCGTACTCCACAAACCACACCCTCCTCACTCACCTGCAATCCCAAGGGATCGATCACCAGACACCAGCGGAAGAGTACAAGTGGTGATCCTGCCTGGGTGTGACAATAGAAAGGCTAGCTAGAGGGACGGATGGCTTGTGTAAAACTGTAATACTAGCCGTATGCGTCACATGTGTTTCTCTGACAGTACGTGTTCCATTGGAAATCTCGGATGAATTGTGTAGGATTACGGACAGGAAGTGTAGTGTAGTATCATGATAGCTCTGAGTTGTATACATATTCCCGTCTGAATACTGTAAGTATGAAAGAAAATGTCCATCATCATATGCATATACCTGTTGTTTCAAAGTCTGTGACTTTCGCTATTTCTTATGTCCGTTTTGTCTGTCTGTCTGCCTGTATCATTCTAGTATTTCTTTATCTGGCACCAAACAACACTGCATTCCTAACTCTAATTGATATCCTTAACCAGATGTACCACTGTCACCGTATATCTACCCAAATTTCTTGGAACCAACACAACACCATACGTTTACCACCGTACAGTGTCTGACACCACACAACACCATAAGTCTACCCCGTACAGTGTCTGACACCACACAACACCATACGTTTACCACCGTACAGTGTCTGACCCAAAACAACAACACACGTCTACACCGTACAGTGTCTGACACCACACAACACCATAAGTCTACCCCGTACAGTGTCTGACACCACACAACACCATAAGTCTACCCCGTACAGTGTCTGACACCACACAACACCATAAGTCTACCCCGTACAGTGTCTGACACCACACAACACCATAAGTCTACCCCGTACAGTGTCTGACACCACACAACACCATAAGTCTACCCCGTACAGTGTCTGACACCACACAACACCATAAGTCTACCCCGTACAGTGTCTGACACCACACAACACCATACGTCTAAACCCGTACAGTGTCTGACACCACACAACACCATACGTCTAAACCCGTACAGTGTCTGACACCACACAACACCATAAGTCTACCCCGTACAGTGTCTGGCATCACACAACACCATAAGTCTACCCCGTACAGTGTCTGATATCACACAACACCATAAGTCTACCCCGTACAGTGTCTGACACCACACAACACCATAAGTCTACCCCATACAGTGTCTGACCCGACACAACACCACACGTCTACCCCGTACAGTGTCTGACCAGACACAACACCACACGTCTAACCCGTACAGTGTCTGACCAGACACAACACCACACGTCTAACCCGTACATTATCTGACTCGATATAACACAACACGTCTACCCCGTACAGTATCTGACCCGATACAACATCACAAGTCAACCACCGTACAGTGCCTGACCCGACACAACACCACACGTATACACCGTACAGTTTCTGACCCGACACAACACCACACGTCTACCCCTAACATTTTCTGACCCGACGCAACACCACACGTCTACAACGTACAGTTTCTGAGCCGACACAACACCACACGTGTACCCCGTACAGTGTCTGCCCCGACACAACACAATACGTATACACCGTACAGTTTCTGACCCGACACAACACAATACGTGTTCATCGTTCTATTTCTGACCCGACACAACACCGCACATCTACATCGTACAGTTTCTGACCCGACACAACACAATACGTATACACCGTACAGTTTCTGACCCGACACAACACAATACGTCTACATCGTACTGTTTCTGCCCCGACACAACACCACACGTCTACCCGTACATTGTCTGACCCGACACAACACCGCACATCTACATTGTACAGTTTCTGCCCCGACACAACACCATACGTCTCCCCCGTACAGTGTCTGACACCACACAACACCATAAGTCTACCCCGTACAGTGTCAGACACCACACAACACCATAAGTCTACCCCGTACAGTGTCTGACAACACACAACACCATAAGTCTACCCCGTACAGTTTCTGACCCGACACAACACCACACGTCTCCCCCGTACAGTTTCTGCCCCGACACAACACCATACGTCTACCCCTTACAGTGTCCGACCACACACAACACCACACGTCTACCCCGTGCAGTGTCTGACCCGACACAACACCACATGTCTACATCGTACATTGTCTGACCCGACACAACACCACACGTCTACCCCGTACAGTTTCCGACCCGACACAACACCACACGTGTACCCCGTACAGTGTCTGACCCGACACAACACCACATGTCTACATCGTACATTGTCTGACCCGACACAACACCACACGTCTACCCGTACATTGTCTGACCCGACACAACACAATGTACATCGTTCTATTTCTGACCCGACACAACACCGCACGCACATCTACATTGTACAGTTTCTGACCCGACACAACACCACACGTCTACTCCCGTTCATTGTCTGACCCGACACAACAACACGCGCCTACCCCGTACAGTGTCTGACCCGACACAGCACCACAGGTCTAATCCCGTCCATTGTCTGACCCGACGCAACAGCACACGTCTACCCGTACATTGTCTGACCCGACACAACACAATACGTGTACATCGTTCTATTTCTGACCCGACACAACACCGCACATCTACATCGTACAGTTTCTGACCCGACACAACACCACACGTCTAATTCCGTTCAATGTCTGACCCGACACAACACAATACGTCGACCCCCGTACAGTATCTGACCCGACGCAACACCACACGTCTACAACGTACAGTTTCTAAGCCGACACAACACCCCACGTGTACCCGTACAGTGACCCGACACAACACAATACGTCTACATCGTACTGTTTCTGACCCGACACAACACCACACATCTACACCGGATATCACACAACACCATAAGTCTACCCCGTACAGTGTCTGACACCACACAACACCATAAGTCTCCCCCGTACAGTGTCTGACACCACACAACCCCATAAGTCTACCCCGTACAGTGTCTGACACCACACAACCCCATAAGTCTACCCCGTACAGTGTCTGACACCACACAACACCATAAGTCTCCCCCGTACAGTGTCTGACACCACACAACCCCATAAGTCTACCCCGTACAGTGTCTGACACCACACAACCCCATAAGTCTACCCCGTACAGTGTCTGACACCACACAACACCATAAGTCTACCCCGTACAGTGTCTGACACCACACAACACCATAAGTCTACCCCATACAGTGTCTGACCCGACACAACACCACACGTCTACCCCGTGCAGTATCTGACCCGACACAACACCACAATTCTACCACCGCACAGTGTCTGACCACACACAACACCACACGTCTACCCTCATACAGTATCTGACCCGACACAACACCACACGTCTACCCCGTACCGTATCTGACCCGACACAACACCACACGTCTACCCGAACAGTATCTGACCCGAAACAAAACCACAAGTCATCCAACCGTACAGTGCCTGACCCGACACAACACCACACGTCGACCCCCGTACAGTATCGGACCCGACACAACACCACACGTCTTCCCCCGTACAGTGTCTGACCCGACACAACACCATAAGTCTACCCCATACAGTGTCTGACCAGACACAACACCACTCGTCTACAACGTACAGTGTCTGACCCGACACAACACCACACGTCTTCCCCCGTACAGTGTCTGACCCGACACAACACCATAAGTCTACCCCGAATAGTATTTGACCGGACGAAAAACCACAAGTCAACCACCGTACAGTGTCTGATATCACACAACACCATAGTCTACCCCGTACAGTGTCTGATATCACAAAACACCATAAGTCTACCCACCATAAGTCTTCCCCGTACAGTGTCTGATATCACACAACACCATAAGTCTACCCCTTACAGTGTCCGACCACACACAACACCACACGTCTACCCCGTACAGTGTCTGACACCACACAACACCATAAGTCTACCCCGTACAGTGTCTGACAACACACAACACCATAAGTCTACCCCTTACAGTGTCCGACCACACACAACACCACACGTCGACCGCCGTACAGTATCTGACCCGACGCAACACCACACGTGTACAACGTACATTTTCGGAGCCGACACAACACCCTACGTGTACCCCGTACAGTGTCTGATACATCGTTCTATTTCTGACCCGACACAACACCATACGTCTACCCCTTACAGTGTCCGCCCACACACAACACCACACGTCGCCCCCCGTACAGTATCTGACCCGACACAACACTATACGTCTACCCCGTAAAGGGTTTGACCCGACACAACACCACACTGACCCGACGCAACACCACGCGTGTACAACGTACAGTTTCTGACCCGACACAACACCACACGTCTAATACCGTTCATTGTCTGACCCGACACAACACAATACGTCGACCCCCGTACATTATCTGACCCGACGCAACACCACACGTGTACAACGTACAGTTTCTGAGCCGACACAACACCCTACGTGTACCCCGTACAGTGTCTGACCCGACACAACACAATACGTCGTCCCCCGTACATTATCTGACCCGACGCAGCACCACACGTGTACAACGTACAGTTTCTGAGCCGACACAACACCCTACGTGTACCCCGTACAGTGTCTGCCCCGACACAACACAATACGTCTCCATCGTCCTGTTTCTGCCCCGACACAACACCACACATCTACACCGTACAGTTTCTGACCCGACACAACACCACACGTCTAATCCCGTACAGTATCTGACCCGACACAACACCACACGTCTACAACGTACAGTTTCTGACCCGACACAACACCCTACGTGTACCCCGTACAGTGTCTGACCCGACACAACACAATACGTCTACATCGTACTGTTTCTGACCCGACACAACACCACACATCTACCCCGTACAGTTTCTGACCCGACACAACACCATACGTCTAATCCCGTACAGTATCTGACCCGACACAACACCACACATCTACAACGTACAGTTTCTGACCCGACACAACCCCCTACGTGTACCCCGTACAGTGTCTGACCCGACACAACACCACACGTCTACCCCGTACAGTATCTGACCCGACACAACACCACAAGTCAACCACCGTACAGTGCCTTACCTGACACAACACCACAAGTCAACCACCGTACAGTGCCTGACCCGACACAACACCAGACGTCTACCCCGTACAGTATCTGACCCGACACAACACCACACGTCTACCCCGTACCGTATCTGACCCGACACAAAACCACAAGTCAACCACCGTACAGTGCCTTACCCGACACAACACCACAAGTCAACCACCGTACAGTGCCTGACCCGACACAACACCACACGTCTACCCCGTACAGTATC